CTCAGTCCCTTGCTGATGCTGTAGGGAGAAGTGCTAGCAGAGCCGCCACGGCTCCAGGCCTGCCAGTCAGCCTCCACACGCCTACCATGTCCCCGCTGCTCCCCAGGAAACAACCACTCTGCATCAGGGCCCTGCCCAGCCTTCCAGCCAGACCTCCGTGGACAATGAGCCTCAGGCCCGAGGCCTCCACTGGCGTCCTAGGGCCTTGACTCCTGGGCCCTGCGGGTTCTGGGCTCCTGCTGGGTGCAAGTGCTTGTGGGGCAGGTGAGCAAGCAGACCTCCCACCCAGGACCTCATGCTGAGTGCAGGCCAGGGTTCATTTCCTTACAGTCTAGGGTGGCGTGAGTCCACTGTCTCAGACGTAGGGAGCACTGGCCTGGGTGGAGTGGGGCAGAGAGGGTCATGGAGGTGCCGGGAGGGGCCAGGGCAGGGCCAGGGCGGGCATCGTTTCCGGCACTGACACTGCTGCGCTGAGTCTAGTGGGCCTGGCCCGGGGACCCTGGTCTTTGAAAGACAAGGAGTTGAGCCAGATGGTGCTGGGGTGAGGACCTGCCCTCCACTCTGCTGGCCTTGGCCAGCCCCACTGTCTCTGGCAGGCAGGGCCAGGCCCAGGTTCACGCTGCTTCGACAGGGTCTCAGCAGGATCTGAAAGGGCAGTGAGGAGGCCACGGCTGTCACCCAGGCTCAGGATGACTGGCCAGGGTAGCAGTGGAGGTGGAGAGAGTGGAGTCTAAGTGTCACCTTAGATGCTGGCATCTAGGGTCACAGGACTAGGCTGGAACTGCATCAGACGAATGTCACAGTGTCTTTAAGTCAGAGAGCCGAGGGCCTCGACAGCAACCTCCAGGCCTGGGTCGGCCTCTTCAGGGATCTCTGGCTCTGGCTACAGAGGTGCAGGCAGGCCCATTGGGGCTTCCCGGTGATCCTAAGCTCTGGCCCGAGGTCTCGGCTCCTTGGCCAAGGGACTCTAGTCTTGGCAAGGAGCGGGGAGTATCAAAGGAGGGACTTCAAAGGGTCAGTGTTTTCTGGAAGCCAAAACGTCATTGTCAAGCAAGATGGATGACTGGAGGGTGGAGGTTACGGGACCTGGAAAACCCAGGGGAAACCCAGGCAGGCAGGGCCATGGCAGGTGGAGGCAGAGTGGGAAGTGGGTGTGGGTGTCTGCGGCATTTGCCCCGAGCCCTGGCTTCAGTGCAGTGACCCAATGTCAGGGCGCCTCCGGTTGCATCCAGTGTGATGGGGGCACCTTCTGATCTCCCTGAGCTGGGACACCAGCCCCTCTCCCAGCACTCTCCAAATGGTCTGGACCTTCCCTGTGCGTTTCCTCTCCTCCGTCCCCAGTGCCTAGGCATGGCAGCCACCCTCAGGGCCTGACCTTGAGGAGCCCTTGCCTGCCCTGACCTGGCAGCCCAGTCCAGCATCCTGCCCTCCCCACTAGATGCTCCAGGGGGTGCCCCCAGCTCTCCTGCTCCCTAATCCTTCACCCATGTGCCCCACCTGGGTTGCCAGTCTGTTCCCCTGTCATTCTCAGAGTTCCCCAACCCCCCTGCTTGTGCTCAGATACTGGGTGGTGTGGTCCAGGGTCCCACCCCTCTCGACCCAAGGCCTCTCTGACGTCCCAGACCGTCAGTGAGCATTCCGAGGCGGGCAGTCACTCTGGGTCCTGGGCCCCACGGACCAGGTGGCCCAAGGGCGGGTCCTTGATAGAGAAAGGCTCCCAGAGGGGCGGTGTCCCCCAGGGTGGCCGGGCAGGGCCCACCTGCAGAGGTCAGCAGACAGCGGTGGCCACAGCTGTGCCGGCTGGGCGGGCCGCGCCCCGGGTGCTGGCGGGAGCGCAGCCCGCGCCAGCGGTGGCCACAGCTGTGCCGGCTGGGCGGCCAGCGCCAGGGCTGCTGGTGAGAGCCAAGCCTGCCGCTGCAGCAGGAGCCTTGAGTCTGTCTGCAGATAGACTGGGCCTCATCCAGGGGAGCCGGAAGCCCCACAAGATTTGCGGGCTGTAGGGTACACAGCCTGACTAGTGTGTGGTGGCAGGGCTGCAGGCTGCCCAGTGGGCAGTGGGATCATGGTGGGCGCGCAGCCGTAAAGAGGGGTGCAGAAACTGGACCCGTGGGGCCCATCAGAACAGAGGTCAAGGGGCCACATCAACCAGCACCCCCTCACTACATCCCGACATCCCCACACCCTGGCCCCTGGCAGCCCGCTACACCAGCCTGGGCCTCAAACAAACATGCCTCCCTCCGCGTCTGGTTGCTATGACAGCCCCTTAGCTGGCAGGCCCAGATGGAAAAAGGAATGGGTTGGGGGTCCAGGGCCTGAGGCTTGCCGAGAGGTAGGAGTCATGATAACGCCCGGTCTGCTCAGCGGCCTTGGCTTACTCATCTCGGCAGCAGTGCGAGGGGAGGTCCTGAGCGCAGATGGGGAAGCGGCTCAGGGCGCTCCCTGCCCTCCCCGTCATACCTGGCCAAGACAGGCCTCTGTGCGCCCGCCTGAGGCTTCTAGTTGGAATTCCCCCATCTTCCTGTAACCCTAGGAGTTGGAGGGGAGGGCATGATGAAGGTGCCTGAGCCTCAGCCCGGCCACCCTGGACTTCACGTGGCTCAGGTAGCCGCAGGGCCAGCGCGATGTGCCTGAGAGGCCAGCTTCCCGAGCCGCCTCTGAGATCACCTCCGGAAAATGGAGTCTGCTCTCTCCATTGGAAATCACATGACGCCAGGGCCAGCAGATGGCTGTTGTAGCAGTTACATCGCTGGACTCCCACATGGCCAACCACAGTTCGAGCCCCGGACCTGGTGCCTTAAACACCACCAGGCCTGTGTGCATGCATACCCAAGATCCCAGAATGGACAAAGGGTTGCAGCATGGCCATCCCCCTTGGGGGGTGATTTCTCACTTTCCCTCTCACTGTCTCTGTCTCGCTCTCTGGCAAACATATCTGCCTTAAGGCAAAAACCTCTGCAAGAAAAAAAAAGAAAATCACAGGAGGCCAGCCAGAGCCGGCACTGACACAGGACCGACACAGACTCACAGTGCTGAGGCTGCACATGGAGGTCCCGGGTTCGCGTCTAGCGGGCTCCCTCTACAGGCTGGGCCTACCCCCCCACCCCCACCGTGCCCATGGCCAAGGCTGGCTGAGGGGGAGGGATAGAACATGGGGTGCGGACCCTGTTGGGGATGTCTCTGTCTCTGTCGCTCTCTCTGTGTCTCTTTCGTAGAAGAATAAATACGTGAATTGGGGGAAAACACGGACCACGTGAGCTGTTGGCAGACAGTGCCCAGGTGCCTGCACGGGTACCTCTTCTCACGCTCTTGAAGCCTGCCCTGCAACCCCCTCCACCAGACGGCGGGCTTTGTCTGTCGGTGTGGGGTGCATCCTTGAGAATGCTGCTTCAGAACTTTGGGCACGTCGAGTCCAGCCAGCTTGTGGGGAAAGAAGTGCGAGCTTGGTGAGGGGCTTGGCCAGGGCCTGACAGCTGTGCCCGGATCAGGCCCTCCACAGCCTGTTCAGCTGGGACAGGCTCACCGTCCTTGTGGGCAGTGCCACTTACACAGGACAGGGTGTCTGGCAGCTGACCCAGCACCCTGGCTCAGGCTGGGCTCTGTGGAGGCTGGAGTGCACCTGGCCATCCTGCTGAGACCTGCCAGTGGCCAACAGGGAGCCGTCCGCCCCGCCC